TGGTATGGATTCACAAATCTGAAACTACTGGAAATAGATTCTGGGACTGAGCAATTGAATAAATATATTACAGATAAGGAAAGTCAATATATTCTAGGACTAAGCAATTAAATAAATGTATTATGGATAAGGGAAGCCAATTTTCTTACAATCAGAGAAGGAAATTACAAATATGTGAATGGAGAAGGCCAGAATGAACCCTGTGTTATTAGACTATAATTGGAAGTATCTCTGTGAACTTGTGGTTTTTAATCTAGGCAGCCAAATACAAAAATAGATGTGTGCATCTATACACATATAACAAATGTATTTGCCTCTGAGAAGGCCTAGAAGCAATGGAACCCCAGTAGCAAGGAGCATATCTGGCACTCAAATCTTGGGTTCTAAAAACCACTTACCACTAAATGGAACCAGGGCTCCTTAACGGAAATGGCTGATTCCAAAGCTCAGCCAAGGCAGCTACAAGATGATTTAGAACTTTCTTCCTGTACCAGAAAGTAATGAAGTACTCAAAGAATAATAAGGACATATTAAAAGGTCACAGAAAAGGGCTCTCACTAGTCAAATGTGCAGTTATGTGAGCACCAAAATAAATGATAATGAGTTATAATTCACAGAATGAAATAAGAATCCACAGGTCTATACGGATAAAAATAAGTGAACGAAACACAAACAGGAGGAGAAGGGAAAGTGGTTCTGCACAGTAGAAGGTGAACTAATAAATGTAGAAGGAATATTAGAACTGGAAAGTCACCATTTGCAACCACCATAATAAACTGTTTTCAGCAAGAATCAGTGGGTGATAAAACTATTTGAGAGGTGGCGTCTGTGGCTCAGTGAGTAGGGCACCGGCCCCGTATACCGAGGGTGGCAGGTTCAAACCCGGCCCCAGCCAACCTGCAACAACAACAACAACAAAAAAACATAGCCAGGCGTTGTGGAGGGAGCCTGTAGTCCCAGCTACTCGGGAGGCTGAGGGAAGAGAATCGCCTGGAGGTTGCTGTGAGCTGTGACGCCATGGCACTATACCTAGGGGGACAAAATGAGACTCTCTCTCTTAAAAGCAACAATTTTGGGTACAAGTTTGATGAGGAACTGAATTGTGCCAAAATACCTCCTACAAGATACTTATTAACCACAAAGGAAAACAACAGTAACTTTACAGTGAAGACTGACCTCTATAGAGAAGACTCTCCTCAAAGTGAAACCACCACTGAGAAGGGTACAACATCATGTTCCTGGTTATTCTATTTTTGCCAAAAATGCATAATATCAATCTGACAGGACACATCAAGGGACATTCTACACAATAAATAGCCTGCATTCTTCAAAAGTGTCCAGGTACTAAAAGATAAGAATAACTCACGACTGTTCCTGATTAAGGGAGACTAAATGTAAGACAACTAAATGCAATGCATTATCATCGATGGGATCCTAGACCAGAAAAACAAAATGTTTACCTATGCTAAGAGACATCAGTCAAACAAATGGCAATTTTTTTTTTTTTTTTTTTTGAGATAGAGCCTCAAGTGGTCACCCTGAGTAGAGTGCCATGGCATCAAGGCTCACAGCAACTTCTAACTCCTGGGCACAAGCGATTCTCCTGCCTCCGCCTCCCAAGTAGCTGGGACCACAGGCGCCTGCCACAGCGCCCGGCTATTTTTTGGTTACAGCCGTCATTGTTGTTTGGCAGGCCCGGGCTGGATTTGAACCCGCCAGATCAGGTGTATGTGGCTGGCGCCTTAGCCACGTGAGTGACAGACACCGAGCCCAAATGGCAAAATTTGAAGAAAGGCTACAGATTAACACACTCCACAAATGTTAATTTTTTAATTTTACTGTGGACTGTACTATGCTTACATTAAAAGAACATGCTTGTTCTTAGGAACGCTGAAGCATTTATAAAGATTAGGGGCCTTATGTCTATAACTTACTCTCAAAAAGTTCAGAAAAAATGACACACATGTGTATCCACAAAGAGAATGATTAAGTAAATCAGTTAAAATGTTAACACTTGAGGAATGTGGATCAAGGGTACATGGGAACTCTTTGTGCTAGTCCTGAAACTTTTCTGTTAATTCTGAAAGTATTTCAAAAGAAAAGGCTTTAAAACATACTGCTGGATGAAGGGGTGGAGATTCCTCGGACACCTTTCCCAGAGACAGGTGCATACCTCGCCTTGTGTGAGGAAGTTGGCCATCAGAGCCCCCTTCACTGCATTCTCCATGTCACAGTCTGAGAAGATGATGAGTGGAGATTTGCCCCCAAGTTCCAAGGTGACAGGTTTGATTCCTTTGGCTGACATCTCCATGATCTTACAGAACAAGAACAAAGCATTCAGAAGAAGTCTAACACAAATCAGATGGGAG